TAGCGAATTGATGTCAACTCCAAACAAAAACAATCCGAAATCCAAAAGAAAAAGTGTGAACCTTATTGTCTCGAATTTCATAAATTAAGCCAGTTCTGTCGTCGCCAACAAGCAGCCGGCCGTCAAAAACAGCAAGATCGGACAGCTCCATGGCACGATCACCGGAAGATATTTCACTAAACTCGGAACATTAAACCCAAGAGCCAAGCAAAGGACGACTCCTATTACTTCTTTGATATCTGTAATAATAACACTAGGTAAACATATATACAAATGCTCACGTGCTGAGAGAGAAATCCGAGTTGGCTTTCCACTCAACTGAAACCTTGTCATGATCAGGACTAATTCTCAGAACACCACGCTTCGCATAACTAGTCCATTTTTTGTTGGATACTTTGCTATCATGATCGAGATCAGTTACTGCTAGCAGATCGATCTCCACTGTTCCATCGTTCAAAATCCTCGTTTTGTATATTTGACTGTGGTTGAAATGGGGGTCCTATAAAAGGAAACAGACGTCAAATATTCAAAAATGATAATTCCTCATAATAACTTCAGCGAGTCTAATAAATTGTTGAATGCAAACGTGCCATTTGTGACTGCTGTATTGCCACAGGCTGGCTGGTAAAAAAACGCATAAAGAGGAAGGTTGACACTATTGACGCAATGGCAACCATGACCAGATCAAGCGTTGAAGCCCCTGGACCTCCAAGAATTCTATTCAGATTTAGTGACCCAAAAGCACTGCCTCCACTTTTCTTCCTTCGTTGCTCCGGGCGCCGTGGCATTACCATTTTATCTCTGGAAGAATACATTACGAGAAATTAGACGCGTAAATGTTTCAGAAGCGTAATAGGAGCGATAGAGAGAAGACACAGAACAAAAAGCAAGTAAACGAAGAAAATATGGTCAAACTAAAAAAAATCGAGATTTGAGATGGTAAGGTAAGAGAAAAAACGAACAGACAAAAGAATAACAACGAAACGGAGCGCAATATCTGGCGACCTTGTCACCGCGGCCACTCGCATTGATGACTTGAGAGATGGGCCTCCAAACTGATAAGATGTGGGCAACACGGCTGCCCAAGTGCAGAGATCACATTGCACACGAATGAGTAGGCAATGGTTCTTGCAAATGCATTCGTACGAAAACAAAACAGAAAACGAAAACCGAAAATATAAAAACAATACAAATCCATTTCCGTGCTAGATTCAATACCTGGTTAAGATAGATGAGTAAAAAACTATAGATAAATATCAATGCTGACCTGATAACGGTTCATGATCAGACAGCTATTTTTCTGAAGAAATGCTCCAAAGAACATCCCAGCACATGTCAGAGAAGGTTGAGTTCATAATTCAAAATACACACTCGCAGTGGCTGGTTGCAGCGCGCAACATGTAACCACTTTCCTAGTCAAAGCAGTTCTTTAACATCTCCTCTCTTGAAGGCACAAGAATGTAGCAAACCACGAGGAAAAGGGAGGTGGGTGAAGAATACTACACCACCTATTTATCATAACTACTATTATTTCAGAACTTCAGAGATTCAAACTTAGGTTTGCACTCAAGGACTTTTGTGATCTATAATGGAAAACGCTTCTACGACGAAGACCCAACTTTAATGCATTGAAACTGAATAGACGTCGACTAGTTTACCCCTTTGCGGTAAAACACCAACATATTGACGACAGCGCGGCAACTATGTATGCCGCCATTTTCGCACCACATCGGACATTGTGGCAACTATGTATGCCACACCAGTTACATTTTTTTTGCACATGCCCGATTTCTTCCCGAATTTTGTGAACAATTCATAGGGCAACATCAGCATAACCAAGAAGCCGTGCCCTACAAAAGGGCTTAATATTCTTCAGTCTTGTAGAAGTTTTTCAGACCTTACGAAAATGTCTGTTTAGTTCACTCCAATGGCAAGACATTTCTACTGAAACAACCGCATGTAAGGTTATGGACCATTAAAGCGAAAGTTAGTGAATTTTGCCTTCTCATAGTCATGCGTGCCATTTTGGTCAGGCTTTCACTGTTATAATTCCCGATAGGTTGAATACATCGAACGTTAACGCATAAAAATACAAATATTACAGCTCCAAATCCACGGCGCCGTGATATAACGGCTTCTGCAAAATCTTGCAGGTCCCGCGCGGTCAAAAAGCCAAAACGTGCAATGTCATCAACGTGTTAATCCATATTAGCATGAATACATCCAACAATCCCTGCCAAACAAATCGTTTAGTAAGAACGCGTTGTGCAGATAAATCATTACCGATGACATGCGCCAAACTATGAAGCGGTTTGAAACACCTCAAGAGTAAAAGTGAATTGAGTCTGTCTGTGTCTGTATAGCCTAATCCGGACGACTTCACCTCATATCTCAACTTACCCATAAGGCTATGATCAGGCCCTTTGGTGTGAGCGCGCCAGTGTCCAAGTATGTCATGAATACAATTCCAGTGTTCATCGGCAATTCGGTCGGCCTGCAACAAAACTGAAAACGATCCACGCAATGCAAATATACAAAAGAATTCGAATGCTAAGTAAAAGTAATTCGCTTTCAACTGCAATAGTACAATCCATGCAATAGTACAATCAATGTTGCAAATCAATAATCGCCTTGTTCCACCTTTGAAGAAGTCAGGTCCGATATTCTTCACAAATTTCAGCGCAGTATCTTAACGTCGTTACGTTAAAGTGGTGTAGTGGCAAGTGGCACGCTTACCACGCGAGCGGTCCGGGGATCAAATCCTGGGTCGTGAGTCGCCCGGGCCAACCAAGCCTTCCATCCCTCCGGGGTCGGTTAATTGGTACCAGACTTGCTGGCCCCCGCAAGTCATTGTATAGGCCACATCGCATTCAAACGCCACTACGAATGTACAAATGGAAGTAGAATGCGTGCCGCATCCCAAAAAGGGATTGATCAACGGCAAATGCTTTATCCTTGCTTATCTTGACGTCGGCGGGCCAGGTGGTTTTTTACCGTTGCTAGATGAATAGGGATGATACACTGCTCCTCATGCTACGTGATATTTACATTTACAGATCGCATTGGGTTGCATTCCGCACAAAACTTCGAAGAAATCATAGAAATACAAAACTAATCAGAAATGTTCTCTCTAACAAATTGCAATTCACATTTTTGATTTAATTTCGCGGGAAATCACCGGATAATGAATAAAAAAAGGTATGGAGCCCGTTTTCCAAGGCCTCATTTTCCTCAATTTATACGAAGTAAATATGGTTCAAACGATAAAGACGATGAATTCTATGACTTCGGTTTGGCACCTCTTTTCCAAATGATCGATATGTAGATCAAAAAATCATAATATAAAGGATAATGACAAAGAATTAATTGTAGAGCGGAAAAAATACTTTCAAATAATATACGTGTTTTTTCCGGGTCATATTTGTACTAATTGGATTTACATGCTCGAAAAAAAAACGCTACGATATTATGTTCCAACCCAATATGTGAAAGCAAGAGCAGTGCATCTTTATTTTCTTTTCCTTCTCTCTTCTCGGCATTAACTTTCTTCAATTGCGTCACTGCTCAATGTTCTCTGATGCTACATTGTGCGAAAAATAAGTACAAAAGGACATACTTTGTGATTCATTACTTTTCCTGTAGCCGAATCCATCATAGCACATTCACGGTGAAGAGGACGATAAGGAATGTTCGCCTAAAGATGAGTGTGAGCGAAAAACAACAGCTGTCAAAGTTGCCTCGATTCGCGAAAATTAAAAGGTTACCTGATGACACATGACAACAATAGGATTGTTCATTATACCGGTAATCAATTGCGCGCCACATCCTACTGGAATTCCCAAACTCAGGATCGTCCTGAAGAAAGTGTTGCTGGCTTCAGTGCAAGGCATAGCAGAGAAGACGTTACCTGCATTCTGCCACCAGGTCGGTCCTTGGCTTCCAAAAGGGTCACTTTCGTTCCCAGTGCTTGTAGTTGACGGGCAGCCGCCAGTCCACTGATTCCCGCACCAATTATAACAACACTTGCGGAGCGCTGAAAGCAAAAATAGCGTTACTGTAGATCACGACGGAACATAAAGTAGATGAGTCATAGCATACGTAAATACGCCGATGTGCAAAGCTTAGACGAAAGTAACTTTCGCATCTTGACGCACATGCAAGCAACCCAGCTCAATGAAATTCGATCCATACATAGAAGGGATTGATACAGCTTACCACAGTGGG